TGAAGTTGATAGACCTGGGTAATCAGTGCTGAGATCAAGGACCAGAATATTACCGCTATATAATATAAAGTGCGCAGGAAGGAACCCCTTCTCTTTACCAGCACCCCACTCTCCCTAGAGCACCTACTATCCAGACTTCTAACGCCATAGATTAGTGTTGCTTGTTTTGAATTCTATACAGATAGAACCATACAGTGTGATTTGTTTTTGTGTGTCTAGCTTCTTTTGTGTTTAGTTTGTGTATTCTCATTGATGAATCATACTCCATTATATGACTATACTAGATTTGTCTGTTATACTACTGATAGATGTTTAGGTTATATCAGTTTTCTTGGCTATCAGAAGCAGTGTAGCTATAAACATTCTTGAACATTCTTTTGGTGATAATATGTATTAATTTCTGTTGACTATATTCTCAGAAGTAGAAATGCCAAACACTGTGAAATGGTTCCTACATTAAGAAAGAATGTGAATAGGTATGTTCAGCTCGAGTTGGCACTACAAAGTAGTCTTCCAAAGTGATCATACTAATTTGATACTCCAATGGTGTATGAGACTGTATCCTTACCATACTTGGTATTGACTACTTGTTTTTTTCCCTTCCGTCAGATAGGGAAAGTATGCATTGTAGTATGCATTGTGATTTTAACTCCATTTCCAGGGTGGCTGTTGAAGCCGAGCACCTTTTCATGTGCTCATTGGCCATTTGGATATGTTCTTTTGTGAAGTATCTGAGTCTTTTGCCCATTTTTGTTTTTTATTAATATGCAGGAATTTTAAAATATATTTTGGATATGAGCCCTTTACTGAATATAGTTATTACAAATATCTTCTCTCAGTGGGTTGCCTTTTACTTTCTTACAGGGTGTTTTTTTTTTTTTTTTAAATGAGCAGACATTCTTAATATTATTATAGACCTATTTATAGTTGTTTTCCTTTATAGTTAGTGGTTGTATATGTGTGTGTATGTAGTTATGCTTAAGAAATCTTTGCTCATGAGGTTTTATTTCATTTTTGTGTTTATTTTTTCTGGACTCAATATTGGATATGCTACTTGATTCTAAAAAAATCCATCTTCCTCCCCGTCCCCTATTTTGTGTCTCTCCAGAGTGGGTATTAAGGACATTGCTGGTATCCATTTGCCAACAAATGTGAAATTTCAGAGTCCGGCTTACTCTTCTGTAGATGCTGAAGAAACAGTTGAACCTTATACAACTGAGAAGATGAGTCGAGTTCCTGGAGGATATTTGGCTTTGACAGAGTGCTTTGAAATTATGACAGTAGACTTCAACAACCTTCAGGTGAAAAAAAATTCAGTTACTATTTTCAAGCATTAAATTTCATGCATTGTTTAAAATAATATATAGGACAGACAATCTTATTTTATGAGTTTGCATGAAGATTCCACTTATTGTATGTAAAGAAAATGATTAAAGGGTAATTAGAATTTCTTCCTGAAATTATTTGCTTGCTTGCTTTCCTTGCTTTCTTTTCTTTTCTTTTCTTTCTTTTTTTCTTTGACAGTGTCTTGCTGTCACCCAGGCTAGAGTGCCACTGTGCCTAGCCCACTTACTTAAATACAAAGAAACCCCCCCCTAAGATTGTTGGGAATGTATAGGGTGCCAGGTGCTTTCACTTGTGTTATTAGGCAGCTCTTATGACATACTGCCATACAATTATAATTATCCTGTGTTACGCAGATGAGGAAATTGTTGCTTACATTAAATAATTCCCACCCAAATTATTCAGCATGTGAATACAGGGGCAGGAATTCTAACCTAGGTCTTTCTGACTTTTCTCTGTATCATGCTGCCATTTCAAATTAACAAAATGAACAATAATCCAAATCTCAAGGTTGTATGTATATTACGGTGACCAGCCTTCATGGTTTGCCCAGGACTGAAGAGGGTTCCGAGACTTGAGACTTTCTGTTTTGAAACCAAGATAGTCCTAGGAAAAGCAAGAGAAGCTGATCACCCTAGTGTGTATGTGTGTGTGTTGGTGAATGGTGTAAGGATGTTCTGTATAAAGAAAGTGCCCAGCTGTGCACAGTGGCTCACGCCTGTAATCCCAGCACTTTGGAAAGCTGAGGCGGGTGGATTACCTGAGGTCAGAAGTTCAGGACCAGCCTAGCCAACATGGTGAAACCCTGTCTCTACTAAAAAAATACAAAAAAATTAGCCGGGTGTGGTGGCGGGTGCCTGTAAACCCAGCTATGCAGGAGGCTGAGACAGGAGAATTGCTTGAACCTGGGAGGCGGAGATTGCGTGAGCCAAGATCGCACCATTGCACTCCAGCCTGAGCAACAAGAGCGAAACTCCGTCTCAAAAAAAAAAAAAAAATGGGTGCCGAAAGAAATTGGAAAGGTTACATAGAATTCTCTGAAGGTCTTTAATAAGTAAAGTTCAGTGTTCAAGGACATAAATGTTATAAGTGAAACCTGTTTAGAGATAGAATACTTGTGGGGGGTAATTTTAGCCTAAGTGTTTTTTTTTGTTTGTTTTGTTTTTTTTTTTTTTTGAGACAGAGTGTCGCTCTTATTGCCTAGGCTGGAATGCGATGGTGTGATCTTGGCTCACTGCAGCCTCCACTTTTCGGGTTCAAGTGATTCTCCTGCCTGAGCCTCCCGAGTAGCTGGGATTACAGGCACCCACCACCATGAACGGCTAATTTTTGTATTTTTAGTAGAGACAGGGTCTCACCATGTTGGCCAGGCTGGTCTCGAACTCTTGACCTCAATGATCCACCCACCTCGGCCTCCCAAAGTGCTGGGATTACAGGCATGAGCCACCATGCCCAGCTAGCCTAAGATTTTTATAACTTAATAGAAGCTTTCCTTTATTATTTGTTACCACATTGTTCTTGAGGTGATCTGGAACTAATTTAACAATTTGGCCTTGCTTACTGAGGCTGAGCTTTCTGAGCTTCAAGAGCATTCCTTACCTGTTATGACTTTCAGTAGCAAGTAACACGTCTGTAGCTGCCAGTTATCCTTTTATTATTTTAAGGCTTTTTAAAATTTTAATTTTTCTTAGCCACACACACAAATCTTATTAAGGTTTTAGTTTCAAAAGTCATGCATGTCTGTTTAATACTTTCAAGCAATACAGGATAGAAAGGAAAAAGTCCTAGTATTTTTCTTCCTCTTTAAAATCTCAACCCTTCTTTCCCCAGGTCACTAGTTAGAAGTGCGTCTTTCCAGACCTACTTTTCTGTACATACACACACACACTCCCTCTCTCTCTCTCTCTCACTCTCTCTTACACATTCTTTCTCTCTCCCTACTCCCTCTCTCTCCCTACCCCCTTCCATCCCCCTCTATTTTCTAAACAAAACAATCTCCACTGCTTTGTTACTTAAGCTTTTTCATTCAGCAGTATATTATGGACTTCTTTCCATATCAGCAATATATATCTGCTTCATTCTTTTTAATAATAGCTACATGGTATTCCAATAAAATAGGTCAGAGCTTCCCAACCATTGTGCCTTAACATGGTTATAGGTGTGCCAGTGTACTGAATCCCTCAGGGAGCTGGGCAGGACTAAGAACTCCAGAGATGGAAAATGGTAAGATATTGAGGCACGTATATATGAAATACATAAAACCCTTTCATTCCTTTTACATTTTTCTCAGGAATTAAAAAGTCTTGCAACTAAAAAGCCTGATAAGATTGGTATTCCTGTTATTAAAGAAGGCATACTAGATGCTATTATGGTTTGGTTTGTGCTCCAGCTTGATGATGAACATAGTTTATCCACAAGTCCTAGTGAGGAAACATGTTGGGAACAGGCTGTCTACCCTGTACAGGACCTTACAGGTAGGTCTTGTCAATTTTTTTTTTTTTTTTTAAACCTTTTGCTTTAATCTTCTAAGTATTCGAGTCAGTGGCAAAAAAAAAAAAAAATCCTTTCGATATGAAGTTTTCAGTCAAGGGAGGTTGGTTAAATCTTTCAGAACTCCATTTTTTTTTTTTTCCAAAAGAAATTTGAAATAGGTAATATTTGTGGTTAAGAGAGACAAACACAACTCTGTTGCATAGCACTTGGAAAACCTATCATCATTTCTTCAGCTCCGATTTTTCTAGTTATCAGTAGATGAAGGAAGTCCTGCTCCATTATTTCATGGGAAGTATTGGAAAAGTACTGCTTTTAGTGCAGGAGTTCTTATTCCTTAGAGAAGCTGATGACGTCTGTGGAGCCCTGGGTCATAAAAATGTATACATTCATACAAGCACAAAGTTTTTCAGTTTTAGAGAGTTCATGGATCTGTGAACTTCCCTAGGGAAGTTTTGTATTAAAGATTTTTTTTTGGTATGGAAATTTTTTTTACAGTGATTCGATGGGTTTAATGTAAGTTTAAAGTAGTTGAATTATATAGAAAAACAACCCTTTTTAGGCTGGGTATGGTGGCTGACACCTGTAACCCTAGTACTTTGGGAGGCCCAGGTGGGAGGATTGCTTGAGGCCAGGAGTTTAAACCAGCCTGGGCAACATAGCGAGACCTCACTTCTTTTTTTCTTTTTCTGAGATGGAGTCTCACTCTGTCACCCAGGCTGGAGTGCAGTGGCGCAATCTCAGTTCACTGCAACCTCTGCCTCCTGGGTTCAAGCGATTCTCCTGCCTCAGCCTCTTGAGTAGCTGGGACTACAGGTGCATGCCACCACGCCCAGCTAATTTTTTTGTATTTTTAGTAGAGATGGGGTTTTGCTGTGTTAGCCAGGATGGTCTTGATCTCCTGACCTCTTGATCCGCCCACTTCGGCCTCCCAAAGTGCTGGGATTACAGGTGTGAGCCACTGTGCCCGGCTGCAAGACCTCGTTTCTACAAAATGAAAAAAATTAACTGGGGATGGTGGCAAGTGCTTGTAGTTCCATCTACTTGGGGCATTGAGGAAGAAGGCTCCTTTGAGTCCAGGAGGTTGAGGCTGCAGTGAGCCAAGATTGTAACACTGCACTCCAGCCTGGGCAACAGAGGGAGATCCTGACACACACACAGACACACACACACACAGAGAGAGAGAGAGAAACTCTACCCTTCTTAAACTGGAAGTTAATACATCTATTTCTGTTTAGTTTCTTAATCAAGGGATCTAATTTGGCAAGGTCATAAAAGCCTGGAATCAGTATATTGTTGTGGCTAGTATGTTGTTTTTGGAGTCAGGTAGATTTGGATTCAGTTCTTGGCTCTGCTACTTACTGAATCCCTCCTGGCCATCCTTGCCATTTGTTTCTCAGAGCTTATGTTGTATCATATATAAAAATGGGATGATACCACTTATCTTGCAGCACTGTTTTAGGGATTCTTAGAGATGGTAGGTATAAAATGCCTACCACAGTAACTGGCACTCAGTGAATGCTATTTTTTACTTGTGTTTGTTCTAACTCTCTTTTACCTGTAGTAACTTAGACAGATGTCTTTTGTTTTTTAATCCTTCTTAGAGAAAGGACATTTATATGTTTAAGCATAAGAATAGCAATTTATGGCTGGGCTCAGTGGCTCATACCTGTAATCCCAGCACTTTGGGATCCTCCTGCCGAGGTAGGAGGATTGCTGAAGTTCAGGAGTTTGAGAACAGTCTGGTCTCTTCTAAAAATTTTTTAAAATTCAGGTATGGTGGTGAGCGCCTGTAGTTCCAGCTACTCTGGAGGCTGAGGTGGGAGGATAGCTTGAGTCCTAAGATTGAGGCCACAGTGATCATACCACTACACTCCAGCCTAGGCCACAAAGCAAGACACTGTCTCCAAAAAACCCAAAAAAGTGTAACAACTTGTATTTTCAACTGGTTCCAGGGCTAATGAGAAGGAATTACGATTATACATTTATACATTTACATTTTAAAATTTTACCACATGTAGGCCAGGCGCAGTGGCTCATGCCTGTAATCCCAACACATTGGAAGGCTGAGGCGAGAGGATCACTTGAGCCCAGGAGTTCAAGACCAGCCTGGGTAAAATAGCAAGACCTCATCTCTATTTAAAAAAAAAAAAAAATAGCTGGGCCTGGTGGCATGCATCTGTAGTTGTAGCTACTTGGGAGGCTGAGGCAGGAGGATTGCTTGAGCCCAGGAGTTGGAGGCTGCAGGGGGCCTTGTTATACCACTGCATCCCAGCCTGGGTGACAGAGTGAGACCTTGTCTCAAAAGACAAAACAAAACAAACGGAAGTTTTCCCACATATGAAAGGAGTATGCTATGGTCTTTATTGTAGGACTTGGTTCTTCTTTATACTTTGAAGTTCCTAGACATGCAAGAATGCTTACAGTTAACAAATATAACTGATACAATTCTGTTGAATGTTACCTTGTTCTTTTGGAAATTTCAATTAGAGAAAAGAATGTCCCTTTAAGCTAAAGTGAGGTTTGATATTTATCCCTGAATTTTATCTTTGTTGTTATTAGCCTTCATTACCAAAGATGATAGAGTCTGCTGCAGTACTCCACCAACACCCCAATTTGGGGATATGGCAGTAAAAACATTATCACACTGATAGTCTCAGGGTCAATAATGGAGCTCTCGAATGTCTCCATTATGCTACTGGTTGATTGAATCTTCAAATTTCAGTTTTTCCCTAAGTAAATCTGGTAGGGTTTTCCTGTTCTTTTTTTTTTTTTTTTGTATATTAAATGAGTATTTGTAATCCTTTCTATAGTGATTTAAAGAATGGGGGGTTAGATGGAGGATGGAGATGTTTATGTGATCCTCTGGCTTATAAGCACTCCATATATTTTGTTTTTTCTTTCTTACTATTTAATGAAGACTACTGGATAAAGCCTGGAGACCATGTGATGATGGAAGTGTCTTGTCAAGACTGTTACTTAAGAATCCAGAGTATTAGTGTCTTGGATTTGGAATGTGAAATGGATGTTGCAAGAAGTTTTACCCAGAATAAAGACTTGTTGTCATTAGGAAATGAGGCTGAACTTTGTAGTGCCCTTGCTAACCTTCAGACCAGTAAACCAGATGCTGTAGAGCAGACATGTGTATTGGAATCTACAGAAATTGCTTTGCTTAACAACATCCCATATCATGAAGGCTTTAAAATGGCAATGAGCAAAGTTTTGTCTTCACTGACTCCAGAGAAACTGTATCAGACCATGGATACTCTCTGTCAGAATGAGATGAACTCTGGAACTGGACAGAGTAATACTGTACAGAACATCCCTGAACCTTTCTATGTGTTAGATGTGTCTGAAGGCTTCTCTATTCTGCCTCTTATTGCTGGCACACTTGGGCAGGTTAAACCATACAGTTCTGTGGAGAAAGACCAGCATCGTATTGCTCTGGACCTCATATCTGAAGCCAATCACTTTCCTAAAGAAACACTTGAGTTTTGGCTGAGACATGTGGAGGATGAATCTGCTATGTTACAAAGGCCAAAATCAGACAAGTTATGGAGCATAATTATATTGGATGTTATTGAGCCATCTGGGCTCATTCAGCAGGAAATAATGGAAAAAGCTGCAATATCCAGGTAAAACACAACATAATAACTTTTGGGTTTTTTTTTTTTTTTTTTTGAGCTCAGATTTTATGTAAATTCCTTAAGTTCTTTAATGGCATAACTGTAAAAATAAGTCAAGATCATTGTATGCTCCTCAAGCATTACTTTTCAGGACATGTGACTTCATTTGATGCTAAAATCGTCCCAGGTTTGGCCAGTGGGAGGTCCTTTAAACTAGTTCCTGTGTCTTTTTGACACGTTCCCATAATTCTTTGAGCATGTTCTTACTTTGGTGCAACCACATGTTTTATTTTCATCTTGAATTTTTCTCAACCCCAACCTTAGGATTAGTCTTTCTCCAAGGGACTCTGGTTCCTTTTGGTTCCTTTTAGTGGAGAACTATATTTTGAAACCAAGATATATATATCTTCAAGTGTGGTGATATTAATAGTTGTGGGCTTTTCATATATGGCTTTTATTATGTTGAGGTAGTTTCCTTCTATTCCTAGTTTGTTTAACGCTTTTGTCATGAAAGTGTGATTTTTGTCAAATGCTTTTTCTGCATCCATTGAGATGATCATGTGGTCTTCATTCTGTTAATGTGATGTATTGTAATTGGGCTCCTGTCTTGGCTTCCCAGAGTGTTGGGATTATGGGTGTGAGCCACTGTGCCTGATCTGCAGTTGTTTTTAAATGATCATTCTTGCTGGAAGCGGTGGCTCATGCCTGTAATCCCAGCACTTTGGGAGGCCGAGGCGGACTGATCAGGTGAGGTCTGCAGTTTGAGACCAGCCTGAGCAACATGGAGAAACCCCGTTTCTACTAAAAATTAAAAAAAAAAAGGAGCCAGGCGTGGTGGCGCATGCCTGTAATCCCAGCTACTTGGGAGGCTAAGGCAGGAGAATCACTTGAACCCGGGAGGGGGAGGTTGCTGTTAGCTGAGATCGCGCCATTGCATTCCAGCCTGGGCAACAAGAGCGAAACGCTGTCTAAAAATAAAAAAATTAGAGGAATAAAAAAATGGCTACTCCATAGACCTGTCTCTTATACACATCTAGATGTGTATAAGAGACAGGAGCGAAACTCCATCTCAAAAAAAAAAAAAAAAGTTCATTCTTAAGTTCTATTCACTCATGCTAGTTTAAAGTACAGGGGAAAGCTTGAAAGCTTGGTAAACTCTTTCATTTTTTGTTTTTTTAAAAACCATGGCTATGGTTTGAATGTCTCCTCCAAAGCTCATGTGTTGGAAAGTTAATTCTCATTGCAACAGTGTTGAGAGGTGTGATATTTAAGCGGGGATGAGGTCAGGGGGGCTCTGCCCTCACAAGTGGATTAATGCCATTATCATGGATGGGAGTGGCGGTTTTTATACAGGATGAGGTCAGCCCTCTTTCCCATTCTCTCTCTCTCTCCCGCTCCTTTCTGTATCTCTCTGCCCTCTGCCATGAACAGTCAGCCAAATAAGTTGCTGTTCTTTATAAATTACCCAGTCTGTTGTATTTTGTTAGACTTTTGAGTTACAACATTATTTTTTTCATTGCTGAAGGCATGGATGGTTCTGAAGTATCATTTAGCTTTGCAAAAGATTTCTGAGGAGTCTAGCAGTTGCAGTAATGTAAGTAACAACAAAACACTCAATGTTAGTAAAGATAAGCAGAGTTTCAAAGCAATGGCCATTTTATCTGAACATAGCTAACATCTAACACTATCTTTTAGCCCCCAACCTAAGGGTAGGGAGGGGGTCTTAGTCACCATTCATCTCATTCACATATAGAAGTTGAGTTGCAAGGATAATAACAGAGAAAAAAAAATTGCAAGCATAGATAACGGAGAACTAAACTGATTATCACTTAGTTGATAGTGTCAGATCCCACAGGTTGAGGACTCAGTTCCACAGACTGCCCCCTACTTCAGATGCCAGTTACAAGTAGTAGGTTGTCACTAGTACTTCTCACAGGCTGTAAATTGGAAGTTCCTGAGACCACTTCCGTTAATTTTCTAGAGTGGTTCGCAGAACTCAGGGAAACACTTATGTTTGCCCATTTCATTTATTATGAAGGATGTTACAAAGGATACAGATGAAGAGCCAGATGAAGAGATGCATAGAGCAAGCATGTGGGAAGTGGCACAGGGCTTCCATGCCCTCTCTGGGCACCCTCTAGGAACCTCCATGTGTTCAGCTACCTGGAAGCTGTCTGAACCTTGTCTTTCTGGGTTTTTATGGAAGCTTTGTTATGTAGGCATGACTGATTACATCACCGGCTATTAGTGATCAACTCAACCTTCAGTGTGTCTCCTCTCTCTGGAGGCTAGTGGGTTGGATGGAAAGTCCCAATCCTCTAATCTTGCCATGGTCTTTTAGCCCCCAACCTAGGGCTGGGTAGGGGCCCTTAGTCATCATTTATCTCATTAGCATACAGAAGACACCATTCTGTAGGTTCCAAGGGTGTTAGGAGTTCTGTGGCAGGAAACAGGATGAAGACCAGATATATATGTATCTTATTATAATCACAATATCATATTTGCCCTATGTATACTTTATATTCGGCTATTCCTGAGTTGTATCCTTTGTAATAAATCCGTAAATATAAGTAAAGTGTTTTTCTGAGTTCTGTGAGCCATTCTGGCAAATTATTGAACTCAAAGAGGACATTGTGGGAACCCTTGATTGTTACAGCCTGATGGGTTCTTTTTGCCCACTGCCCAGAAAAGCCAATACAGTGAGAACAGCAGAAGTTGGAGTAGGGAAACTTTAGGTGGGCTCATGCCTGTAATCCCAGCACTTGGGGAGGCCGAGGTGGGTGGATCACTTGAAGTCAAGAGTTTGAGACCAGCCTGGCCAACATGGTAAAACCCCGTCTCTACTAAAAATACAAAAATTAGCTGGGAATGGTGATGTGTGCCTGTAATCCCAGCTGCTCAGGAGGCTGAGGCAGGAGAATCGCCTGAATTGCAGCACTGCACTCCAGCCTGGGCAACAGTGTGAGACTCCGTCTCAAAAAAAAAAAAAAAAAGAAAAAAAGAAAAGTGTGTAATTATCACAAGGCAGCCAAGTGGAAGAATGGGAGATGTTTTTCAAATCCACCTCCCTGAGAACTCAGAGGCTAGTTTTAAAGAAAAATTTGGTGAACTGGTGGCTAGGGAATGGATACTGCTGACTGGTTTGGGATGAAATCATAGGGATGTCAAAAACGGTCTTCCTGTGCTGAGTCAAGTTTCTGGGTGGGAGTCATAGGAGCAGTTGAGTCTGAAAAATATCTCAAAGACCAATCTTAGGTTTTACAATACTGATGTTATCTATAGGAGCAATTGGGGCAGTTACACATCTTGTGACCTCTGGCTCCATGATTCCTGAGCAGTAGGGCATTATAGAAAAGCAAGCTAGGGTACAATGACTGGGTATCATTTAACTGTGCCTACATTTTAGCAGAATTCAGGCTCCTCCCATAATCCTAACCTTGTGGCCTTTCCTTAGTTCTACAGTGGCTGTTTTGGTCCCTGAACAAGGAGAGGGTTCATTTCAGGAAGGGACTATTATCATCCTTGCTTTAAAGTTAAACTGTAAACTAAAATTCCTCCCACAGTTAGCTTACCCTATGCCTGAGACAGTCAGTTTGTGAGGTTAGAAGCAGAATGGAGTGAGCTATGTTAGATTTCTTTCACTGCCATAATTTTTGCAAAGGTGGTTTCAGTTTTATAGATGGCCAAAAGTACTGAAAGTCCAGGACCTACAGTTGGCATCAGAACTGAGGGCAGTCATGTGGGATGGAGCCCTTATAGCACTGGATGCTAACTCCAGGTAATGTCAGTATTGATTTCAGTTGTAGTACACTCAAAAGGTATCTGAGAATTTTTTGGGGTGGGAACCTCCTCCCTGCCCCCCCGCCACCACCACTTGGTGTCAGAAGTTTTATTTTTTTTAGACAGCTGTCACTCTGTCGCCTAGGCTGGAGTGCAGTGCCATGATCATGGCTCACTGCAGCCTTGAATTCCTGGGCTCAACCTACGTTTTATAAATAGAAACGGTTCCTAAGACTACTTCAGTGACTCACATGATATCGTTCCCAACTCTCTTTCTCCCATAGATTTCATGACTATAAGGTTAGCTTTTATTAACCTGTGTGCTTTTTTAACTTGCTAATTTCATAGAATGGTACCCTCTTGTGGCTATTTGGGGAGTGAAGGGTTGTTAGTCAAGCAACATAAAGTTCTGTGGCTAGTCTCTCCTTTCAGAGACCTTTGTGATCCTGAAGAAAATTAGATCTGATTTTCACTTAAATGCATCACAATTAGCAGATAACGTCAGTTGTTCAGATAATTTTAATAACATGAGTTTTCAGAATTAAACTTGATCCTTTTGAGGAAAAAAGATTTTTCCAGTGATTTGGGAAGACATAAAATTGTAGCCAGTTTGGTAAAGGCATAGATTGGAATTTGGTTAAGAGCTGTGCAATTTTATTATGAGGTGTGAAATTTCACTAACTGTGGAGATTGAATTTCTACCAGACTACCTAATATGCCAAAAAGTTGATAGGAAAGGAATAGCAACAATGGGTAAAGCACTGGGGGCAGGGTGGAGTCCATTCTTAGGCTAATTTATGAATATAGGATTTATTACAACTCTAAAGGATCATGTCGTTATATTCAGTGGGTGAAGAGAGATTATCCTGGTGCAGAATCATGACTTATCTTTATCAATCTGGTGCCATTACACTTGGAGTCATCTCTTAACTTTGCTTGCTGAATCTGTGCTCCTCACATTACGGCTGGGGATATGGCTTCCTGTTAGCTTGTCTTTAGGAGAGAGTGAGCTGTTACAAGAGCAGACTGTTTCCTTATTAACTTTTCCTCAAATGTATTATTTTGAAAATTTTCAAACTTAGGAAAAATTGCAAGAATAATAACAGAGAACACTAGATTATTGTTTACTTTACTGAACCATTTGGTAGTTGATTGTTGGCATCATAAACTTCATCTTTTCTTTAGTATTTGGCATGTGTTTCCTAAGAACAAATGTTTTTCCCTACATATCACAATAAAATTGTCACTCAGGATATTTCACATTGATAAAACGCTATTATTAATATATAGTGCATATTAAAATTTCCCATTACCCCAGTAATATTCTTCATTGCTTTTCTTCCCAGTCTAGTTCTAATCAAGAGTCTTACATTGCATTTAGTTGCCACGTCTTGTCATTATAATTTAATTGTCCTTGCTTTAGATATCTTTAAGTGGTTATAGAATTGAGATAATCAGTTTAGTAAGAGACCGGAGAACTAATTGAAATCTAATTCAAGAGCAGTAGCGCCAAAGTAGTTTTGAGGAATGGGGTGTTTTATAGCTTAGCTTGTCTAGGTTTTAATGATCTATTTAGGGAGACTGCATAGTATATAATTTTGGAAATGTTTATGAATTACTTTTTAAGATATGAACAAATGTGTTGGTGAAATGTTTAGTTCTATATTTTTATAAGTGGATTCTTACTCTAAATATTTAATTTAGGAGTAAAAACATACTGCGAAATGTACATATGATAATATAAAGTTCACCTGCCTAGTATGCTGTTCTAGAAATTCAAGTAGGAACAAGCTTGGGATATTCAGTAAAAATGCAGATTTGACATTTGATTGTAAATGTGGAAAATGAAAATAATTACTTGGTTTAAAGTATCCTCCACCTCTGTTTCATTGGATGTCAGTAGGTGGCCCACCCACATAGCACATAGCTCGGGTGTGAGGAAACAAGACTACATAGGTAGGTGTGGAAGCTGCCTTGGCTTAAGAGCCCTTTGCTTCACGTAGCAACTCTTCTCCCATGGGCACAGCTTCCACGGGCTAGCAATATGAACACCTGGTTACACTCTCAGGGAAGCCCACATGTGGTATGGGTTCCTGTCAGGCATTTATCCTTTGTTCATAGTTCTCTCTGTCCAGATACAGTCTACCTATTAAGAGATTTTTTTTTTTTTTTTTAAACCATAAGCAGTGTTGCTGATAAACACAGCTGACATTTTATTCTTATAAGATTTTCAGAGAAAGAGAAGGTAAACCCAAGGTCAGCTGTAGGAAGAGAAAGGATTTTGTTAACCCTTGACTCTCTCTCCTCGAGTATTAGAGTATTTGGACTTTTTTTTTTTTTTTAATTTTGCATTTGGAGTGTTTAACCTTTTATTTTGAAATAATTTTCAAGCCTTTGGAGAAGTTAATAATACAAAGAACTTACCATACACCTTACACTCAGATTCACAAACTATTAATATTTTGCCACATCTGCTAAATTGTTCGGGAAAAAACATTTCAGGCTCTTTCCCTGAACCATAGATACAATGTGTCTTTACTCCTAATACCTTGGAATGCATAGGACATTCACTTATATAATCACTGTACAATTATTAAAATCAGGACATTTACAGGGACACAATACTGTTATCTAAGCTACAAACTTTATCCAGGTTTCACCAGTTGTCACAATAATGTCCTTTGTAGCTTTTCTGTTCCTGGTCTGGAATCCAATCCAGGATCATATATTCCATTTAGTTTTCATGTCTCTTTAGTGGTGCAGTCACTGCTCACTGCAGTGTGGACCTCCTGGGCTCAAGCGATCCTCCCACCTCAGCCTCTTGAGTAGCTGGGACTATAGGTGTGCACCACCACACCTGGCTAGTTTATTTATTTGTAGAGATGGGGTCTTGCTAGACCCAGGCAGGTCTTGAAGTCCTGGGCTCAAGCAATTCTCTCACCTTGGCCTCCCACAGTGTTGGGATTATAGGCATCTCGGCCACCGTGCCCAGCCTGTCCCATTATTTTTGATGTTAATACAATCACATGGTTTAAGTTGTATCTACACATTTCTCCATTCAGTAAGTCACTATTTCCCCCTTTGTGATAAGTCATTTGTGGGGGTGATACTTTGAGAGTGTAAAAGGATATTTTCCTAATCAAACTTTGACTTACTAGTTTTAGCATCCATTGATGACTCTTTCCTGAATCTAAAGACGTATGTTCATTTAAATAGCTAACTGGTCATTTTTCTCTTTCATTGATCAGTACTTTGACTTGAGAAATTATTTCTAGTGGTTTACTGTTCTGAAATACCAGCCATGAATAATAGAAAATCCATTAGACTCTGTGTAATCTGTAGCTCTTTACTGATTTATCATGATTCTTAGTTACTGATGTTTATACAATTGGGGGGATTACAAAGGGTTTCTTTTGTTTTATGTTTTTTTGAGACAAAGTCTCACTCTGTCACCCAGGGTGTAATGCAGTGGTGGGATGTATTTCACTGCAACTGCTACCTCTTGGATTCAAGCAGTCCTCCTACCTCAACCTCCCAAGTAGCTGGGACTATAGGGGCATGCCACCACGCTTGGCTAGTTTTTGTATTTTTTATAGAGATGAGGTTTTGCCATGTTGCCTAGGCTGGTCTTGAACTCTTGGGCTCAGGTGATCCACCCACCTTGGCCTCCCAAAGTGCTGGGATTACAGGCGTGAGCCACTGTGGCCCAGCCGCAAAAGCTTTTTAAAATATGTACTTTTTTCCTTAGGTGTTTACTACAATCTGGAGGCAAGATCTTTCCTCAATATGTGCTGATGCTTGGGTTGCTTGTGGAATCACAGACACTCCTAGAGGAGAATGCTGTTCAAGGAACAGAACGTACTCTTGGATTAAATATAGCACCTTTTATTAATCAGTTTCAGGTAAGTGTCTAGAGAAGTTCAACCAGGATGCTGCTGAACAGTCTACCTTCGCTGTCTCTTTAGTCACTGTTTAATCTAGCTAAACACAGTGACTAAAGTTTAGCTGGATTAAACACAGTGACTAAGAGCACTTAGATTCTTACGTATAGTAAGTTCGTACAACAAAGGAACTTATTATAGGTAAAAATCAACCTAGACGTTATAGTAACCAAGGAATTTTGTCGTGACTGCTGATAAAAGTTTATAGGTATTTGGCCAGGTGTGGTGGCTCATGCCTGTAATCCCAGCACTTTGGGGAGGCTGAGGCGGGTGGATCACTTGAGGTCAGGAGTTCAAGACCAGCCTGGTCAACATGGTGAAATCCCGTCTCTACTAAAAATACAAAAAAAATTAGCCACGTATGGTGGTGCATGCCTGCAATCCTAGCTACTCTGGAGACTAAGGCAGGAGAATCGCTTGAACTCAGGAGGCAGGAGTTGCAGTGAGCCAAGATCGTGCCACTGCACTGCAGTCTGGATGACAGAGCGAGACTGCATCTCAAAAAAAAAAAGTTTATAGATACTCCTCTGAATCACTGTCATAAATGGAAGAAGGGTCCTAGGTTTTAATCTTACGAAAAAGAGTGGTCTTTGTCCAAAAAAGATTTATGTTCTAAACTTGAACCCTTACATTGAGACCTCAGGCTGGCAGCTGATAAGTATCAGCAGCTAATGCTCAGATTCTAGGAAATCAGACTGCAGAGAGCAGGAATGCAGGAGCCTAGGAAAACAGAGCTCAAGCAAAAGGGGGTTAGCCTCTGTTTAGGAAATAAGGAGTCAAGATTTAGAAATGGGCTGGGCATGGTGGCTCACACCTGTAGTCCTGGCACTTTCAGAGGCAAAGGTGGGGCAGATTGCTTGAGCTCACAAGTTCGAGATGAGCCTGGGCAACATGGGGAAACCCTGTCTCTACAAAAAATACAAAAATTATCTGGGCTTGGTGGTGCATGCCTGTAGTCCCAGCTACTTGGGAGGCTGAGGTAGAAGAATTGCTTGAGCCTGGGAGGTGGAGGCTGCGGTGAGCTGAAATCACAACACTGCACTGCAGCCTGGGTGATAGAGTAACAAATGTTTACTGAATGTCTACTACATGTACATTTAGATTTGGAGAATAGGGCTATAAATAAAGGTAGAATTTTTGGTAAGTTGGATGTGGGCTATGAAAGAGGACTCCATTTTTTTTTAGGTGAAAGCACCTGGAAGAATGGTTCCCATTTACTGATAATGGGGAAAATAGCATCAGGCTTTGTATGTTGCTGTGGTCACTGAGCAATTGGGTAAGAATTCAGAGAAAGCTCTGGGCTGAAGATTTAAATTTGGCAGTTAGCCTGTAGCTGGTATTTAAGGCCATAAGACTGGATGAAATAGCATGGGGGCATGTTGATAAAGAGGGCTGGGAACTGAACTCTAGAGAACTCATAAAGTTATGAGCTTGGTTTGGTTGGTTATATAGAAGGAACTGGCAAAGATGACAGGAGGGCCGGGCATGGTAGCTCATGCCTATAATCCTAGCACTTGGGGAGGCCAAGGAGGGCAGATTGCTTGAGTCCAGGAGTTCGAGACAGCCTGGGCAACATGGCAAAAACCCATCTCTACAAAAAATACAAATATTAGCCAAGTGTGGTGGTAGGCACCTGTAGTCCTAGCTACATGGGAGGATCACTTGAGCCCAGGAGGCGGAGGTTGCAGTGAGCTGTGATCATACCACTGCACTCCAGCCTGGGGAACAGAGTGAGACCCTGTCTCAAA